CCTACTGGCTACCATACTGGGGATCTTGGAACTGTAGTCTAAGAAAGTAAGTATTTCCAAACTCTGTTACTATCACTAACATTTAAAGACATTGTGTAGCCATTTTGTATTGTGGGCTTGTTTGAGTGACCATAGGGTGCGCTCCTTCCATTCCCTGAACTATGTGCTGTGTAAAGAAGGAAGTACTTTGTGGAATACTTTATTTCACAACAGAAAGATAAATGTTCTCATATCAGCCATAAGAAGGAATTTGAACCCAATAGGTATTTGAAACTCTAACAACACCATAAACCTTTTTTTTTACTACAGTTCTTAGCCCAAATAGCCAGTACTACTCCAAAAAATAACTTTCCACGCTCTGTTGCAAGAAGCCCAATAAAAACTTGTACATTGATGCAATGCCTACTAATGCAGGGCTTTGGACCACTAATCGTGTAAAAGATTTCTTCTCTATGCCACCAGCTCTGGTTTGCCAGTAGAAGGAGCTGATGAGCTGTTGCCTGCTGTACTTGGACACACTACAAGGGCCAGGTAAGGATTCTTGTTTTGCTCATTTTGTTTTAGTAATAACTTTTCAGAATTTACACATTTCTGACAAGTTTGGCCTATCTCCCCTTATCACTGTTTCCTTTTGCTTTCCTCCTTTCTTGGGCTACTTCCAGTGTCTCAGCAGACAACCATTTTGCCTTCTTGGTTTTTTTTTTCTTTGGAACGTACTTTGTTGCCGCCTCCTGAACAATGTCGCGGACTTCTGTCCATAGTTCTTCTGGGACTCTGTTTACTAAATCTAGTCCTTCAAATCTGTTCTTCACTTCCACTGTATATTCGCTAGGAATGTTAGTGAGATCATATCTAACTGGTCTGTGTATTTTCCCTGATCTCTTTAGTTTTATTCTAAATTGAGCTATAAGAAGTTCATGATCTGAGTTACAGTCAGCCCCAGGTCTTGTTTTCACCGACTGGATGGATGTCCGCCACCTTTGGCTGCAAAGGATGTAGTCAATCTGATTTCGGTGTTGACCATCTGGTGAAGTCCATGTATAAAGCCGTCTTTTAGGTTGTTGGAAGAGAGTATTCGTTATACACAGCGAGTTTTCTGGCAAAATTCTATCAGCCTGCGTCCCGCTTCATTTTGTTCTCCCAGACCATGCTTGCCTGTGATCCCTGTTGTCATTTGACTTCCCACCTTGGCATTCCAGTCTCCTGTAATGAAAATAATGTCTCTTTTTGGTGTATTATCCAGTAGTTCCTGCAGATCCTCATAGAACTGATCTACTTCTGCTTCTTCAGCAGCTGTGGTTGGGGGCGTATATTTGGATCACTGTAATGTTGAAAGGCTTTCCTTGCACTCGAATTGAGATCATTCTGTCATTTTTTGGGTTGTATCCAAGCACCGCTTTAGCGAATTTCTTATTAATTATGAAGGCTACTCCATTTCTTCGATGTTCCTCTTGTCCGCAGTATTAGATCTGGTGGTCATCTGATGTGAAGTGGCCCATTCCAGTCCATTTCAGTTCGCTGACCCCCAGAATGTCTATCTTTAGTCTTGACATCTCACCAATAACAACATCCAATTTGCCCTGGCTCATAGATCTTACATTCCAGGTTCCTATGGTGTGTTGATCTTTAGAGCATCGGATTCGTCGTTCACCTCCAGTACCGTCGGCCGCTAGCCTTCCTTTCGGCTTTGAGCTAGTTGCGTCATCACATCTGGGGCTAGTTGAACTTATCCTCTGCTCCTCCCCAGTAGCATTTTGGCCATCTTCCGACCTGGGAGTCCCATCTTCCAATGGCATACCGACATATCTCTGGTTGTACTGGTCCATTTAGTTTTCTTGGCAAGGATACTGGAGTGGTTTGCCATTGCCTTCCCCAGGGATCACGCTTGGCCTACCTAGACAGATTTATACTTTAAAATCTGGCTGGAAATACCCATGCTTCGGCCTTCATTATGGTACTGAAATAGCGTTTCCACCTCTTTTTCTAATGGATCACCTTCAAGAGCCACATGGCAGACTATGAACACAATCTTGTCTATATTGAAATAAACCAGCTTTTGAGTCCTGAGTATATGAGCCTGCTTTAAGATCATTTGGGGAGGGCCTTCTCTCAATCTCACAACCATCATAGTCACATTTGTGGTGGATGTAGGAGAGAGCCTTCTCAGTGGCTACTCCAAGTTGTGTTTTTTTTCTACAGAAAGGGTCTTCTTAGTAAGATTTGTCCCAAAAAGGTTAGCCCAGGTATGGACAAACCCAGGGCTATGGGCCAAATGCGGTCCCTTGGGCTCTTTTCTCAAGTCCTCCTCTCTCTCACCATCCCACCCTTACTTCCTTCTTCCTTTCCTCCCTCTCTTCCTTACCTCCCTCTCTTTCTCCCTCCCTCCTTCCTCTTTTCCTTCCTTTCTCTTCCCTCCCTCCTTCTCTTCTTTCCCTTCCTTCCTTCCTTCCTTCCTTCCTTCCTTCCTTCCTTCCTTCCTTCCTTCCTTCCTTCCTTCCTCCCTCCCTCCCTCCCTCCCCCCTCCCTCCCTCCCTTTTGTCTTTCCTTCCTTCTCTCTTCCTCCTCCCTTCTTCCCTTCTTCTTTTTTCTTCTCTTTTTCCTTCCTCCTTTTCTCCGGGGGGATGTTTAGCTGGGATAAGAGAAGGTAGATAGGGAACATGAGAACTATGTTTCAAGATTTTAAAGGGTGTCCCATTTTTGGGGGGTGGGGGATTCATCTTAAAAGATTAGGAAGAACTTCCTAAGAGTAAGAGCTGTTGGAGAATGGCATAAGCTACCTGGGAGTGTGGTGGAGTTGCCTTCTCTGGAGGCATTTCCGCAGAAGCTGCTTTGATTATGTCTTCCTGCATGGCAGGGGGTTGGACTGGATGGCCCTTGGGGGTCTCTTCCATCTCTAGGATTCTAGGATTCTTTATCAGGAGTAGGCAATAGGAGTTCAATGGATACACTTTTTCTTTCCCATCCACCATCTCACCCTGACCAAGGCCAGCCCTTTTGCGATCCAAATATTTCCTATCTTTCTCTTTCTGCCTCCAAAAGGGAAGAGAAAGGGGAGGAAAGGGCAGGGAGGGGGCTAGGGGAGAACCTCTTTACTCCCCGTCCACCCATCCTGCTGTGGCCCACCATGCAGCCCCCAAATTAGAAAATGTGCCCATGCCTGGTTTAGCCATTGCCTTCTTCTGAGGATGAGAGAGTGTGACTTGCCTCTGGCCATCCAGGGGGTTTCATGGTTGAGTGGGGATTTGAACCCTGGTCTCCAAAGTCAGAATCCAACACTTAAACCACAACACTATACTGGCTTCACACAATATATATTACCTTTGAGCATTTTGACAGCAACCTGGACTGACACTTCTGTTTCACTGATCCCATATGCAACAGCATTCACTACTTTCCCAAAGGCACCAGATCCAAGTACTTGCCCTACAAGGTAAAAAGAAGAAAATAGCATGTAACTCTAGCCATTTGGTATAGACATAATTATGATCACACTGAGTTTAGTGCTGAAGACCACAGACTGCTCACCAAATTCCAGGTTTTCTCTGGGGAACTCCCACTTCAGATCATATTCAACCTCGTTGAAATCAACATAGATATATTCATTATCGGAAGGACCAACCATCTGAATCATTTGTAGCTGGCTTTCATACCTAACTTGCTGCAGAGAATGGGACACTGTGAATAGTGGAAGGGGCATACAAGGGAGAAAGAGAATGAATTGGGGTAAAGGCAGGGATTTTACTGTTACCTTTCTGTATTTTTGGCAAATTAATAAGCACAGTGCCATGATCAGTGGTAAGCAGAATCCAATAACTCCATATAATGCCATATTATCCGGTGGAGCAAATACTGCAATTCAAAAAGAAAATCAAATTATTTGCATGGGACAAACATTTAGAATATTATTACTAATAGAGCAAACTTTAAGTTTTTTTTCTCCATTACAAATTGATTTTCAAGGACTTGAGCTGCAAAGAACACCAAACCGTGGGTTTTTCCAGTTTGGGGACCAAGCAAAAAAATAAATCCTTAACATTAGTTAACAGAAAAATTAGTTTGTCTGCACTAATTCTCCATTATGCCAGGCGGAAAGAAGACACATATTCTCATAAAAATTACTGTGGAAAGAATACCAAAATAAAGAGTATAATTATCTGATACTGTACATCAGTGTTTCTCAACTTTCCTAATGTCACTGACCCTTAATACAGTTCCTCATGAAATTATTTTCGTTGTTATTTCATAACTGTAATTTTGCTACTGTTATGAATTATAATATATGCAGGATGTATTTTAATTCACTGGACAAAATTTGGCACAATTACCCAAATTTGAATACTGGTGGGGTTGTGGGAGGGATTGATTTTGTCATTTGGGAGTTGTAGTTGCTGGGATTTATAGTTAACCTACAATCAAAGAGTATTCTGAACTCCACCAATGATGGAATTGAACCAAACTTGGCACACAGAATTCCCATGTGAATTTTCCAGGCTGTATGGCCATGTTCCAGAAGCATTTTCTCCTGACGTTTCACCTGCATCTATGGCAGGCATCCTCAGAGGTTGTTATCAAGTTGTTATCAAGGTGATCAAAGTGATCAATTGCAACATTCACACTTGCCTCAATCAGACAAGAGTTCTTTCTCCCACTCTCAACATTCCACAGATATGTAAACCCCACTTTCCTAGTTTCCAACAGACCTCACAACTTCTGAAGATGCCTGCCACAGATGCAGGCAAAACATCAGGAGACAATGCTTCTGGAATATGGCGATACAGCCCAGAAAACTCACACCAAACCAGTGATTCCAGCCATGAAAGCGTTCGACAATACTGCAAGGTTTGGTGGGCATTCACCTTGAGTTTTGGAGTTGTAGTTCACCTACATCCAGTGAGCACTGTGGACTCAAACAATAATTGATCTGGACCAAACTTGGCACGGCTATTCAATTACGCCTAAATGTGAACACTGATTGAGTTTGGAAAAAATAGACTTGATATTTGGGAGTTGTAGTTGCTGGGATTTATAGTTCACATATAGTCAAAGAGCATTCTGAACCCCACCAACGATAGAATTGGGCCAAACTTCTCAACAGAACCCCCATGACCAACAGAAAATACTGTATTTTCTGATGGTCTCTAGCAACCCCTCTGATACCCACTTTCAACCCTCCCCCCAGGGGTCTCAACCCCCAGGTTGAGAAACACTGCTGTACATAATGCTGGAAATTGTAGTCCAACAAAACAAGGAGATACACGAGTCCCACACTTGACACTGGTGATTTTACCACAGTATAAGCCTGAGACAAAGAACTAGTGATAATGTTTTTTATTTGAACTACAACTTCAAGAATCCCACAGGCAACTGTGGTCTATGGGAGCAATAATTAGAAAAAAGTTACTGTTTTCAGCTTTGAGGAAAAATGTGAAGGATCAGATTGCTAGTATCTACAGCCCAATATTTTTTCATTAGTTAATAATTACTCCAGAAGAAATGTCCAGTTTTCTCAAGACTCAAATTTCTCCTTTGGATTTCAGAATCTCATCTTCTCAACAACATTTCACAATGATCTATATGCAAAGTGGAACCATGAACTTGATAGGCGTGATGGTATAGTACCTTTAAGGCGAGCAGTGTTTGTTTGACAGGACTGGCCAAATGAATTGTTTGCACAACACTCAAGGCGAAAGCCATTTTGTACTTCACTCATGCGTAAAGTGCTCGTTGTGCTCCAGGAACCAAAGGTCTTTCCTTCACGTAAATCATTTGTAATTCCCTTCGTGATTTCTGTACAACTGACAGGGGGAAAATCTAATCAGTTATTCATTTGTTTGTTTGTTTACTCCATTTATACCCTGCCTTTCTCTACCCCTAAGGGGACTTAAGGCGGCTCACATAGAGGCAATTGTTCAATGCCCTTAAAACACATACAGTTAAAAAAATAAATTAGATTAAAATTAAAACATATTAAACATTTTAAAACATTACATTCTATCTTAAAAGCACACCATCCATAGTCATTCCATAAATTCCAAATCTGTAAATTGCATTATTCTTCGAATGATTCCACAGCCAGGTTTTTTACCTTTCTTCTGAAGGCTAGGAGGGAGGGAGCTGATCTAATGTCACTGGGGAGAGAGTTCCATGCCCGAGGGGCTACCACTGAGAAGGCCTTGTCTCTCATTCCCACCAACCATGTCTGCAAAGGAGGTGGGACCTAGAGCAGGGCATCCCCCAGACGATATTAATCTCGGAGATGGTTCATATTTTTTCTCTTTCTTCTCCAAATTTCAGGTACAATCAATAAGAGAATCCTATGCTTTACACACCATAATATTTGTTATTAATAAATGGGAATGAATAAAGAATTTTCTATCTTTTTAGTATGCAGGCCATTTTTATTTAGAGGTCGTGCCTAGATATTTTTCTTATAAACTATAATATTGCCCCATTGAAACTAGAGCCTCAGACTCATCCTACCCAATCCTTCTCTTTCGTTTAGGCTGGAGGTGAAATAATATATGGGGACAACCACAATGTATCAACTATACTCAATTGTTGCTTGCAATTCTCATTGAATCAATTGCCAAATGACAAGTCAAAAAGTATGTAAATTTCAATGATTCAATAAATCTAACTCTAGCTTGGACTTGAAATTGTAGAGCAGTGGTTCTCAACCTGTGGATCCCCAGATGTTTTGGCCTACAACTCCCAGAACTTCCAGCCAGCATGTTTACCAGCTTTTAGGTTTTCTGGGAGTTGAAGGCCAAAGTGTCTGGAGACCCACAGGTTGAGAACCACTGTTGTAGAGTCTTATGGGATACTACAAGCCATTTCATCTCAATGTTAAGACCATCTTCACAGATCTTTCTCCCTGAAGTTACTTCTTTAATCGAACACAAGATGATATTAAAAAGCTTGGATAAGGAGTAGGAGAGTTATCTGACTGGGACTGGACCAATGAATTCCTCCCCACTTCCCCAGAAAGCCCTCAGATGCTTTCAAGTTCTCCACTGAAGACTTAGCACACCCTGGTGCCCTCCAGGTGTTTTGGAGAATGGATAAGGACAATGGAAGTTATAGACCAAATTATCTGCCAGGTACCAAACTGAAGAAGGATGATTTAGGGGCCCAGTGATTGGAGGACAATAGCTATCAAACTTCATCCGTCTGTAAAATGGGGAATCACAAACTCTAAGAGCGAAAGGGCTGAGCACAACACATTTGACCTCCAGCTGTTAATTGGACCTCCAAATCCCACAATTCCACAGAAAAGTAGGACATGAGTAAGGACAGGCATGAGTTGGGACCTCTAGCAAAAGTGGTTCTCAACCTGGGGTCCCCAGATGTTTTTGGCCACTCAACTCCCAGAAATCCTAACAGCTGGTAAACTGGCTGGGATTTCTGGGAGTTGTAGGCCAAAAACATCTGGGGACCCCAGGTTGAGAACCACTGGGCTATAGCATACCACAGTTGGGCTTCACTGTGAGCTGCTACATTTCCCCTAAATTAAAATCACATTCTCAGAACCTTCTTAGTTTGTTGGATTAACACCTATTCTCAATGACTAATAGTATCTGAACTGGTGAAAAAGAAAAGCCAAGATGAATAATTAGACAATTGCTTTGAACTTCTCAATGTAACATGATATTAACCCTTTTATATAAAAAACTAAACAAAAATATCATGGAAACATGTGTGAATTCTAATGTATTATTATTTATTATGATATTTATTTATATCCCGCTCCATACGGTGACTTAAAGCGGCTCACAAATAAAAATATTACAATGCAACTTAAAATATATTGTATACAAAAATTAAAACAGCATTAAACATTGTTAATATTAAAAACAATTCAAGTTAAAAACATAATCGCCATAACCACAAGGTGTTATGGGGTATTATGGGTTGTGTATGCATTTTAGTATACCGCAAGAATTACAATTATATATTCATGACAAAAAACAAAGCTTAAGTTATTTAAATACATAGCATCCTTTTAGCGTGGAAGACCTACGCATGCGGACGACGCTCCTAATGTCATGATGGTGTTCAGAAACCTAACCACTACTTTGCAAAAAAAGGGGGCGGGGTGGATTTACAGGCATATTTATTTACTGGAGCAAAATGAAATAGTATCTTTCTTTACTTTGTATCCTCTATAGGACACTCCCTCCAGACCCAGGATGGTGCAGGATTGCTCTCAGAGATGCAAGAAATGCTGTCTTCTGCATTTGGTGTTGAAATCATGATTACTTCTGGTTTTCCTAGAAAGATATAGCAAAACAACACAGAATACTTTTAGAAAAATAATTCCCAAAGTTTGCAAGAACAAATCTCTAAAGTAGAGCTTGTCCTGTTACTACTAACTCTGGCTGGGATACATAGGATAGAATCAAATGCAACCAGATAAGAGAAAAGGGAAGGAGACTATGGAGATGCCTGGGTGCCTTTTCAAAAGTCCTTCAATTAACAACAAAATTCCAGGATTTGATAAGATGGTGGTCAAAGTAGAATTAAGTGCTATACATGTGCATAAAGGGCCCCAGGTCACAAAGTGTCAAATAACTACACTGCCCTCTTAGCTAACTATTTGTCCAAACTTTGTATAACTATTTGTCCAAACTTTGTGCACTTTTGCCTGAATCTTGTGGGCCAAGAATGTTGCAAAAACATTTTATTTTACTCACTTTTAACATAGAGTTTTAATTTTCTCCTTACGAAGGCATCACTATTTTCTGCATAGAACTCATATTCACCTGGTTGGTATTTATGGTCACAGAATGTTGCAGAGATGCTGTTTCATAAAGGAAGGAAGAAAGAGTCACCCAAGCATGTATTCAGATGCAATAATTATGTTTTCTTAAAAGCTAACCAGGCAGCTCTCAAAGAATATGAACCCCAAAATAGCACCACAGATACTTTCTTCTATGAACAGAAGAGAATAGGGTGGGGTGCTCAATAGATGCTATTGGATAGGAGCTCATATCATCCCTAGGCAGCATAGCCAATAGTGAGAGATGATGGGAATTACAATGCAGGAAGATTTGTGTGCCACATCCTTCCCTTTGCCCTAATTAATGAATTGACCATGCTGTCTGGTCATGATGAGAGTCATAATTCCATAAATTTGGAGATCACTAGGGTGAGGAAGGTAATGAAGATGAAAGATATTCCAAACAGGTATGGCTAGCCAACCAACCTACATAGTACATCTAGGAAATCAACAACAAGAGAACAGTATGGAATCAAATGAAGGCGTGCTTCACATGTTCAACATAAATGTGCAATTTTCTGTCCTGCAGCAACTTCAGACTACAGTATATATTTTCACAAGCAAATAGGATTCAAGGCCAAGCTAGGTTTTGTGGGTGTTGAACTTCATTTGTAATCTGGACCTTGATGACTCAGAATAATCATTGTGTGTCAAGAGTTACAATTCCCAGATCTCTTTTTCTCTCATGTGATAATTGGATTTTGAAAAATTGGGCTTGTTTTAGATACAAGAATTGTGATAAAGCTTCAATTGAGACACCCCCCCCCCCCACCAAGATCACTCTTTCAGAAGTGAATTCCCCTTCTGCAGGGTCGATTTCTCTCTTACCCCTGTTTTTAACTGCAAATATCCGACTCATTTGCAAGTCGGATATTTGTAATCGGAAGACTGTCTGTAATTAACTTATGTGTGAAATTTTGTGGAAGATGGACAGAGATAAATACCAGAAACATTATAGAAATGCACACATGCAAGTTGGGTATGGGATTGTTGAGAGTGAGGTCAGAAGGAAATTAAATATGGGAAACAGTAACAGTGACATCATTAACACTGGTCAGTTGCAGCACAATAGTACAAACATGCAAGAGCTGCTGACAGAGTTGAGTTCCTGCCCCATTTCTCTAGATCTGGCTAGAACAAAAGGAGAAGAAATAAAAACACAAGAAAGCAACAGCACTGCTGTCAGAGCAAGCCAAGCTCCTGAGATACAAATGACGGTTTTCCAGACGGACTTGGACTTGAGCATCAGGCTCCCACTTACCTTCATCTGGGCCTGAGTCTCATCTCCTACTCAGAAGCACCAAGATGCATTTGAAATGCCTCCCTCCATCCTGTTGATTGAACACAGAACTACAGCAAGGGTGGACATGAAGCTGGACCTGCACAAGACAACACAAAGGAGCAAAAGAGAAAAGAGTCTGCCTAATAGTCTTCAAAGGAGACAAAAGAGGCTGTTGAACAGTTTATCAGCCTGTGATCTCCTTTCTCACCTCCATTTCTCCTGCCAAGAAATAAGACCAAGCAGCTAGAGGAAGAAGACAAAAATGCAGCAGAGAGACATTATTAGCAGAACAAGGACACAAAAAGAAAAGTCAGATCTCTAGGCTACCCTAAAGCTCATCCCTAGAAAAGTGTTCACAGTGGTTGTAGGAAAAAGATTGAAAGATCTACCACAAATTTTGGGTGGCATCCTACTAGTGACATACACAAGCATAAGTCCATCTTATGCTTGTGTGTTTGCAGAAGTTGATTTTCCTTTCCTTCCTCCACAATGAGCAAAGCACACTGTATCTAGCTACGCCCTCATAGCCAGAGGCAGACAATGACATGAGGCAATGATGAGAATTCTGGAAGGCCACAGTAGATCTATGTAGAAGATGTCATAGAGTTGGAAGAGACCTCATGGGCCATCCTGTCCAACCTTCTGCCAAGAAGCAGGACAATCGCATTCAAAGCATCCCCAACAGATGGCCATTCAGCCTCTGTTTAAAAGCCTCCATAGAAGGAGCCTCCACCACATTTCAGAGTAGAGAGCTCCTCTGCTGAACAGCTCTCACAGTCAAGTTCTTTCTAATGTTCAGGCRGAACATTTCCTGTAGTTTGAAGTCAGTGCTCCGGGTCCTAATCTCCAGGGCAGCAGAAAACAAGCTTGCTYCCTCCTCCCTATGACTTCCCCTCACATATTTATACATGGATATCATGTCTCCTCTCAGTCTTCTCTTCTGCGGGCTAAACATGCCAGGCTCTTTAAGMCACTCCTCATGTGCCCTCCTCTGGACACATTCCAGATTGTCAATATCTCTATTCAGTTGTGGTGCCCAGAATTCAACACAGTATTCCATGTGCTCGGTTTTGTACAGCTATGATGACACAATCAGGGGATCCTCTGCCCCTTCCCCCAAAGCTCTACCAGCAATAGAACATACATTGGAAGGGGTTTTGTGCAACAGTGAGCTGGGAATGGTGACAGGGAGCTGTCAGAGTTCCACATGTGACATCCTTATGACATCTTTATGTGGGAAATTAGTCYTTTTTTTTGGAATTTACAACAATGTTGGGCAAAGGGTGACCCATGGGGCATATGTGGTTCCTCAAGTTCATTTTGGAGACCCTCAAGCACCCCTCTCATTTGTGTAGAYATATGACTTTTGCAAAATAGCCCCATACACCCTAGAACAGTGGTTCTCAACTGTGGGTCCCCAGATGTTTTGKCCTTCAACTCCCAGAAATCCTAACAGCTTGCAAACTGGCTGGGATTTCTGGAAATTGAAGACCAAAACACCTGAGGACCCATAGATTGAGAACTACTGCCCTAGAACATAGTGTTTTTGTAATAGTGTTTACACATTGGCCTTATCTCCAAGATAGTCAGTTAGGACATATATGTAAATACAGGTATTCCAAAATATCCCCCCACCCAAAGTACTTCTGCTCTCAAGACCTGTACTGTCCTTGTCAAATTGGGACAACTGAAAAACATGTAGTAGTCTAGGCAACGAGGTATCACAGCAGTCCTAAGTGGGTGGAATTGTATGTGAGCAAGAAAACAAAGCTGATGGAATGGTACAAAGTATTCCACAATCAACTTCAGAACCTCTGGGGATGCCTGCCATAGATGCAGATGAAATGTCAGGAAAGAATGCTTCTGGAACATGGCCATACAGCCCGAAAAATTTACAACAACCCAGTGATTCCAGCTATGGAAGCCTTCGACAATATATTCCATAATCTCCTGCAACCACCATAGATGCCAAGTGTGGTCCTAGGGAAGGGAAATCCCATCCTCCATGTCCAACATAGAAAGGAAATGTTCTATACCTTCTCCCTTAAACCTTAACAGATTAATAGTATGCTCTTGCTGACAAGGTCAGCTGTACCACTAGGCAAAATCAGACAATTTCCTCAGGCACCAGTTTTGAAGCTAAGCACTGGGACTATGAGAGTGGCAGAGAGTGTCATCTGCTGCTTTGAGACAGGCTACAAAAGATCTTGGGTGGACCAGTAATGTGGTCGTATTGGCTTATATACAGCAAGGCTGGTAAATATAAACAAGAGTAATGACATAGGAGCAAATGTGGTTACATTTTAATTTAATGAGACTGATTCAATCATTTATCCACCTTCTTCTGCTGAGAGTAAGGGAAGGCTTGCAATTGACACAAATATGTTTTAGTTTTTAAAAAAGGAAGTGAAAGTTGGTGATAGGGTGAGCACAGAGATATCTTCAATCTTATAAACAAGGAACAGAAAACCAAAGAGTACTAAGAATGTTTTATGGAAAAGGTTAGGGGAAGTTGTAGGTGAAGTGGAAACCTTGTGGTGTGGCTTGAAATCAAAGCTCATAAAAAGGGAGATGGAAGAAGAAAGTTCAAGTGAAATTTAGCTTTCAGTTGGAATATGGAGAAATTTCTTACTAAAGCCTGCTATGCATAATTTCTTGTTTTTTAAAAGCTATCTGCTCTCATTTTCTGTCAGGCAGTGCAGCAGAGTTTTTAAAGAAGATAGAATAAATAGAATAACTTTATTGCCATTCTACATTGTACAATGAAATTAAATGCTTTCCTCAGCACACATCACAAAAACAACACACTCATCCCTCCACACTCCAACACTCTTAATTTGCCAGCCAGTCTCTATATTTCAGCTGCTTTCTCCATGACAGTAAAAAATGTAGCCAAAACTTGAGAAAATTATTAATTTGGGATGAGTATTCTCAGCTGATCTCCAGTGAAGATGAATACCATAAAAAGTCATCAATGTTTCATTAGGAAACAATCAAGAAAATATATATAATGTGCACTTTCCTGTGTATGCAAAGATCAAAATGATCAAGCAGAAGAAACTGGTCTAGACACTTTGGGTACTATACCAGGAGAAATGTGGGATATAAATAAAATAAATCATGAGATAGCTATGTGATACATCTGATTTTAAAGCTGATGCAGTCTTACATCCACAATGTCCAAAGTAGAAATAGTTTCATTCTGTTATGCACTAGTCATATTATACAAGGAGTAACACATCCTCTTTGAGTATTGCATTTTAAGACAACTCCATCTATTGTCAAAGGCTTCTATGGCCAGAATCACAGGGTTGTTATAAGTTTTCCGGGCTATATGGCCATGTTCCATAAATGCTGGACCACTCTAACAACTACCAAGTCAGACTACACAGAGAAGCCATTGAAATCCACAAGCATGTGGACAATTTCAACAGAAAGGAAGAAACCATGAAAATGAACAAAATCTGGCTAACAGTATTTAAAAATTCTAAAATTATAATAGTAAATAAAGAACAGCACTCAAAAACAGGTCAATTCCAGACAAGAAACAATCAAGGCCAGCTAATCACCTCCCAACAAAGGATTCCCCCAGGCAGGAATCAGCCAGACCTTGAAACTGCTAGGCCATTAAATGCTAACCAAGGTGGCCAATAGAAGCATTCACCTACTTCAAACAGACAAGAGTTCTTTCTCTCACCCTGGACATTCCACAGATATATTAACCCCATTTTCCTAGTTGCCTAGACCTCAAAACTTCTGAGGATGCCTGTCATAGATGCAGGTAAAATGTCAGGAGAGAATGCTTCACAAAAACAAACCTCCATCTTTTTAAATAGAAATTAGATGGCCACTTCTTGAGGTGCTTTAGCAGTGGAGTCATACAGGTGCATCAATTAAATGGTTGTCAATCTTCTTTCCAGCACCACAATTCTGTGATTTTCTCTATATCCATGGAAGGTAGTGTGAGGTTTAGAAACCTAAACACTCTTCAGAGATATTTGAAAAAGGCTTGTATGGAGAGGAGAAAGTTAGCGAGATCCATGACAATGACTTTCAAATGTCTGTAGGGCTGTCACACAGGAGGTGAAATAGTTCTGTTATCTGCTAAAGAGCAGGACTGGAGCTAAAGGCTAGGAACGAAAGGCAGTGCAAATGGTGCTATTTAAATGTCTTGAGATACTTCCTAATGGTTAAGGGCTGTTTGACAGACTTAGACAGTGATTGACTCTCCATCCTTGGAGGCATTTAAGAAGAGACCCAGTTGTCAAAGATGCTAAAGTTGCACCTTCCACTAAAGATATGGCATCAAGAAAAGAGTGGATAAGATCAGTTACAAGACTCTTTTCAAGCTGCTTTTAATTATGAAAGCTTATGATTTGTTTGCATAGCAAGTCAGTAAACAGCATTTATCACACATAGATGTTACTGGGAACTAATGTGGTGCAATGATTTGAATACTAGACTAGGGCTGAAGGAGACTAGGGTCTGAGTTTCTGAACCATCTTGGAAACTAATGGGTGACTTTGGGCAACTTACACTTTCTCAGCCTTAGAGAAAGGCAATAGTAAACCTCCAAGAAAGTCCAATGATAAGGTTGCCATGTGTTGACCTGAAAGCACCAAGCAGTAGGTGTATGCATGATTGCAGTGTATATTGATTTTTAAATTGGGTCACAGTTTCTATCAATTTCAATTGTATTTATTTTACAAAAAAGTGTATCAATGTGGTGGCTGTTTTAGTCAGTCTGGTAAAAGAGGATGCGATGGTTTCAAATCTTGAATTCCAGGCCTACGCAACTTGTGGCTCTCCAGCCCATTTAACCCCATGTGGTCATAAAACGGGATCTTGACATACCTCCAGTCATGGCTTTCTAGTTGGGACTCCCTAGGGAAATGCAAATTGGTCATCATAAGTTTTTAAAAAAGCCATGCAGAAAATGAGACCAGGAATCTTCTATTTTTGGAACTGGAATGAAAGAGGAAGCGGGCCATGCAAGAGGGTCTTGCATGTCCTGCAACATCGAGTGGCAGGTGGTGGCTGGTATGTTACCAAAGCTGCTGCAGCCTTAGTCCACATTTTAGAAGAGCCATCCCGAGTCTGTCTGGCAAATATGATTCAGTATCTGAGATAGTTCTTTTAAGATTATGATTAAAACCCAGAAGATATTTAACATGCCACATGGGAGTGACCCATTATATCTGATGGAACAACCTCTGCCACACAACTACTGAAGGTGCTGGACCCATGTCCTTTCCTTGATGTACCACCCTACTCACAAGGTAGATAGGCCTCCAATTATCCTGATTTGACAGGGGAAAAGGAGAAGAGGGGCAGAGTCTTGCTTTTCCTAGTAGGGCCAAGCAAAACCAAACTGCTACAGCCTCTCCAGCAGCTTTTGTGTTTTTCCTCAAAAACTTTTGCCACCTTGACCATGTTAGGTTGCTGTGAGTTTTCTAGACTGTGTGACCAAGTTCCAGAAGCATTCTCTCTACATCTATGGCAGGCATACTCAAAGGTTGTGAGGTCTGTTGGAAATTAGGAAAGTGGGATTTATATAACTGTGGAATGTCCAGAGCGGGAGAAAGAACTCCTGCCTGCTTGAGGCAAGTGTGAATGTTGCAATTGACCATCTTGGTTATCAATGAATAGTCTTGCAGCTCTAAAGCCTGGCTGCTTCCTGTCTGGCTTTGAAAGCTTCCAACGAAGGAGCCTGCACCACACTCCAGAACAGAGAGATCCATGGCTGAACAGCTCTTACAGTTAGGAAGATATTCCTCTTAAGTAGGAGAGCATAAAGCTTCTCAACCAGATAACTTATGAGTTGATCAGCTCCAAGAGAAAACTGAGCACATGGGGAAAGAAATGAAGTTGCATTTTTTCAACAACAAAAAGTGAAAAATATTCAAATGTTCTGGAACAATTCTTTATATATAGAAACTGCTTTCATGGTATAAGAAGCCACAATGCAGCAGGGGACATCTGTACTTTCAAGGTCTGTGGCACACAGGCCTACCAGCTTCCTCCTTGTGCTTAAATAAGCAAATGCGTGAAGAGGTCAGCAGTTATTGTTCTATGCTGCTGTTTGCCGAGTCATACGAACTGAGATCCATCTCAACCAACATGGGACTATCCCAGTTTCTTATGTATTAATGATTCATTTTACATAGAAGGGCAAGGAATCCCTTATTTAACTATTTGGAGTTGCATTAATGAAATCAACATGTGGGCTGGGGGATCATGTATGTTGTTGGACTAAGATATTGCATGCTGGAATCCATCTCTTATCAATTCCAGCACCTAGAAATCTGAAATCTCAGACCAATGAATGGCTCCAGCAGAAATAAATGAAGGAGCAGGAGTGTCTTTGGTGATATTTCAGACTAAGTGGTCAGCAAGCATCGGAATCTCAGAAAGCCAGACTGTTGTAATGATTTGAGTGTTGTACTTGGGAAATAGGGGTTTGAATCCCCTCAAAATTCAATATATAAACTTGGGTACATCATACTCTTTCAGCCTCAGATGAAGGCAATGGCAAACTTGCTCTGGACACATCTTGCAAAGAAAAATCCATGATAGGGTTGCTTTAGAATTACCAGACATCATAAATGGACACACAACAAAAACAAATAAAAATGTATCAGAATTAGAGTACTCAGTATAACAATTGTTATAGGAAGGGAGGAATGAAGAATATAAATAAAGCCCTTTGCATTTAGACCAGAGGTAGAAATCATACAGCTCTGCAGACATTTTGGATTGCAACTCCCGGTACTCTTTATCATTGCCCAGAAAATCAATCAATCAATCAATCAATCAATCAATCAGGAAAGCCACAAAGCCCCATCCTTGATGTAGATCAGGCCTAGGCAAACTTTGGCCTGCCCGGTATTTTGGACTTCAACTCCTGTAATTTCTAACAGCTGGTAGGCTGTTAGGAATTGTGGGAGTTGAAGTCCAAAACACACAGAGGGACAAAGTTTGCCCAGGCCTGATGTAAATGAATAGATGCATGCATTAGCCTGCCACTTCCCACAATATCAGTAACACAACGCTCCTTTGCACAGGCACTGGGGTATTGGAAACCCACTATTGACCCCTGACATGTCATAAGCTTCCTCGTTGGGGTGGGAGGGGTAGAAGAGGCTTGGTTCTAAGAATTTCCCACAATGACCTGAGTAATGTTACAGCAAAGCATGTAGTAGTAGCTGGGTCCAGGTACCTGGTGATGCACACAATGTAGAAGCCCATGTAACAAAGGAAGACATATATCACAAAGCAAACGAGAGAACTCTCTATATTTGTAAGTGTTTAGGCATAGGTTGGAAGGTTATCTTTCAGGAGTGTTTTAGTTGTGAATTCCTGCATGCTAGGGTGATTGGACTAGACCAGTTATTCTCAACTTGTGGGTTACTGGATGTTTTGGCCTTCAGCTCCCAGAAATCCTAACAGCTGGTAAACTGGCCTGGATTTCTGGGAGCTTTAGGCCAAAACATCTGGGGACCCATAGGTTGAGAACCACTGGACTAGATGATTCTAGTAATCCTTCAAATTCTAAATTTTCATGATTGTAATATGACTTCATACTTCCTAGGATCTCTACTATACTGAGCCCCTGATGGCGCAGTGGGTTAAAGTGCCGAGCTGCTGAACTTGCTGACCTAAAGGTCGGCAGTTTGAATCTGGGAAGCGGAGTGAGCTCTTGCTATTAGCCCCAGCCTCTGCCAACCTAGCAGTTCAAAAACATGCAAATGTGAATAGATCAATAAGTACCGCTTCAGCAGGAAGGTAACAGTGCTCCACGCAGTCATGCCGGCCATAAGAACTTGGAGGCATCTACGGAAAACGCCGGCTCTTTGGCTTAGAAATTGAGATGAGCACTACCCCCCAGAGTTGGAAACAACTATATTTAATGTCAGGGGAAAACCTTTACTTTTACCTACTATACTATGAATAAATGCTATACAGGCCAGTATAGATCACGGCAATAGCAATACAAAGTGTATCCCCAGGGCAGATAGGGCAACCTATAAATAAAGTATTATTGTTATCCAAAATTATTAAGGGACCCAGCATGGGTCCCTGGTTTGAGCATTGGACTCAAGAGACCTGGATTCGAATCCCTACTTGGCCATGAAACCCACTGATTGACTTTGAACATGTCACACTTTCTCAGCCTCAGAGAAAGGCAATAGCAAACTTATTCTGAACACATTTTGCCAAGAAAATCCTGTGACAGATTGCTCTTAGGGTTGCTATGGATTTGAAGGTACACAACAATAAACATAATACTGTATTTCTTCAGTTCCCAGACACACTTTTTTCCTGTATAAAAATCTCTAAAAATGTCTTGAAATCACACGTGTATTGTATGTGTTGTTGTTGATAGTGGTGCTGAAATTAATGTGCATCTTACAATCGAGGGCGTCTTACAATTGAAGAAATATGGTAAATCGGAAATAAGAAAAGAAACTGCAAAGAGCTATGACCTCAAAGACTTTGACTACAGCAAAACATATTCAGAAAAAAAGAATTACCTGTAATCATCAGTGTAATTTTGCTGACAAGGAAATGATATTTGGGAAAATGTCCAAATACACGTGATTGGTGGGTAGGCTTTCAGTTTTACTTCAAGGCAAGTTGTTTCCTTTATGCCAACTTCCAACTTTTCCGTGAAATCAGTGATATTGATGAATCCTTCATCTAGTAAAAGATGTATCAAAAGCAACAACAGAAATGTACAATTTATTTGAAAAATGATATTTCATGATTTCGTTTTCTTAATTATTTATTTAGTATGTGCTCTAGTTAGTTAAGAAGCAATATTTTAAGAAGTATTTTAAAAATGAAGAAAGCAGCCAGTGGAGCTGCCGTAACATAGGAGTTGTCTGCTCCCTGTACGGCACTCCAGTTAGTAACTTGTAAATTTAAGAAGCAATAGATAATTGTTTTTACAATAAGAATTGACACGGAGGGAGTTTAGAGGGCATTTTTTGGAGGAGGGGGGGATATTTGGAGTCTTATGGACTACAAAAATGCCTTGTGGGCCACATGTAGCCAGAGGCTGCAATATGTTCACTCTTGATCTAGCCCAGCATTCTTTTCCCCACAATAACCAAATGATTCTCTGACTAACTCACAAGCAGAACAGCAAGAGATGAGTTGTGATAACTGATGTGATGCAGTTATGTACCCTATATACATGTCGACCTCATGTAAAGTCAAGGACAGGTTTGGGGACCAAAGTTGTGGATTTTGATGTGATTTGTGGATAAGTCAAAGGTCATTCTGTGGTCAGGAGAAAAATCATCACAGTCTCATGAGCAAACTGCCCCTGGCTGCTGCTGTTTTCCCATTCAAGCATCAAAATGGCCAAAAAGGGTGTCATGGTGGAGTGAACTGAGCAAATTGGTATTTCTTTTAGGTTCTTCCAGAGTAAGCTCTGCCAGTCTGCTACCAAGCACAATTCAAAGTGCTAGCTTTAGCCTATAAAGCACTATATGGTTCTGGCCCAAATTATCTTTCCGAACATATCTCCTTCTATGAACCATCTCGGAGGTTAAGATCTTCTGGAGAGGCCCTCTTTTTGGTCCAATCCTCCTTCGCAAGTGTGATTGGTGGGGACAAGGGACAGGGCCTTCTCAGTGGTGGCCCCTTGGCTATGGAATTCCCTACCCAGCTCAGATCAGCTCCCTCCCTCCTGACCTTCAGAAAGAGGGTAAAACATGGCTATGGGACCAAGCTTTGGACAATATTCCATATTCAATAAGTGCAATTATGACTGGAATGGCTCTTGGACTATGATTTTGGATTGCGTATTTTTTAAAATAGTTAAATAGTTGGTTTTAATGCTTTAATGTATATGTTTTAATGTATATGAGTATTTTATTATATGTCTGTTTTATGTGGCATCAAATTGCTGTCTATTGTAAGGCCACTCTGAGTCCCCTTCAAGGTGAGAAGGGCGGGGTATAAATTGATAAATAAATAAGCTCTTGTTTTTATCACATTATTCAGAAAAGGTGATGGTTCTTTTTTTTATAAGAGTTAAGGCACAATACTTAGATTAAGTCATGATGGATAAATTGACTAATGGAGGATAAGCCAACTTTTTTTGGGGGGGGCGAGGTTACTTTGTGACTTAGGTCTGAGTATATACAGTTATTTTAATCCTGGGCATAATGGTTGCATGTTTACATAAAATGGCCCTTCTCTTCTTGCCACTAGTTAGCAAGGTGGGCAAATGTCAGGCTGGTAGGATCCTTTCTCTAGTCTTAGCAGAGCAAGCTGTTTGCTTTCTGCTGCGATCTAGCCCTCTGAGATATCAGCATGGCTGGAGTATTCCTCTTTACCCTTGGAATGCAGTAACACCCTGACTCTTCACTTTGGAAAATGAGATAACAAATATTTATTCGGTATGAGGCTTCCCTTGGATTGTACTCTAAAACTGAAATAGTTTACCTGTCCGAACGTAACCTCCCCTATGAACCATTAAGGCTGTTAAGATCTTCTGGTGGGGCCCTGCTCTTGGTCCTGCCACTTTTGCAATCACGTCTGGTGGAAACGAGAGACAGGGTCTTTTCTGTGGTGGTCCCCTGGCTATGGAACTCCCTCCCAAATGAGATTAGATCTTCCCCCTCCCTCCTGACCTTCAGGAAGCTGGTGAAATCCTGGCTATGGAACAAGGCTTTCCCAGAATAATGGCCGAGACTGGGAATTGACCAAAGTTATTGACCACATGCAGACTGAGTTGGACATGATTTTATTCTTGGCGAATTGGCTTATATGTATTTTATTTTATATGTATTTTAATCTTATGTTAATATATGTTGTTTTAGACTCTACTGTAGCATTTAATCCTTGCTGTTAGCCAGTCCGAGTCCCTCTACGGAGGTTGAGAAGATCGGGATATAAAGGTTTTAAATAAATAAAATAAATTCAAGTGCTGAGACCTGGGGTGCATCTATACTCTAGAATTAATGAGATTTGAAATCACTTTAATTGTCAAGGCTCATTGTTATGAAATCCTGGGAGATGTAGCTTGGTAAGGCACCAGCACTCTTTGGCAGAAAAGGCTAAATAACTCATAAAACTACCAGGATTCTACAGCTTTGAGCTATGGCAGTTAAAGTGGTTTCAAATTGCATTAACTCTAAGGTGTAGATGCATCTCCAGTCCTGGAATAGACTCAGGATCTTGTTTAGCTCCTTCAAAGTTCAGGGCAGATTCTCTGTCCTACTGGCAGGTGCTAGTGTGCTTATTATAAGAAATACATTGAAAAAGTAAAGATGGTTTACAAAAACCCTATTTCTAGTTTTATGGCCACATACAGCTCACTTCTATTTCCAGCTTCCATCAAAGGGAAGGAAAGCTGAACAATTTTGATGTTGAAAATAGTATAACATATGTATATGCACATCTCAACACAAACATGTCTTGAATGACATGCAACTTACCTAAAACTGTAACAAAAATGCTTTGATTCTTAGCAAGTTTTCCAGAATAGCAGCTATACCATCCACCATTAGAATGTTCCACTGATGACACAAATGCATAGGAAGTCTTAATCCAATATGAGTTCTTATTCAGTCTGCCTTCAATTTTCTGAATTTTGAAATAAAATAATAATAACAATAGTAATAGTAATAGTTTTATTTCTTACCCGCCTCTCCTCATGGCTTGAGGCAGGTTGCAGAATAATTAAAACACACAAACATTGTAAAAATGCCACAAATACACATATTAAAATGTATTTCTATAAAATGCATATTAAAATACACAAAACCAAGATTAAAAGAAGAACACAAGTAATAATAGTAGTAATAGTTACTGGAAGGATAATCTCTAATATGTTACCAAATAGCCCCATGAAGCTTCAATAAAGCATCTAATAGAATGGGATTTGAGATGTCAAGGTACATTACATCAGTTACACAATAAAATGTTGTTATAGACTTCAATAGTTTGGCAAACTGAATTTCTTTTTTATGATGAAGAATGGAAAGTTGCAAAATGTGAAACTCACATTAAAGTCAAAAGTTAGTATTCAATGAACTTATTCAAAACTATTAGGAGTACGTGCGCCAAAGAAAACCGCATTACCTGATTTATTTGCTTGTTTTCAAAAAACCACTTAATTGCAAAGTTAGAATTGGAATACTTGGCTCGACACCGTAAGAGCAGTGGATCTCCAACTTTAAGAAATAATTCTTGTACAGCATTTTTTGATGGCACTTCTAGATCTGTCCAATGAAACAGGTAAATCCAGAAAAGAAGTTTAAAAAACTTGAAATGTCTTATTGTTTCCGCCTCTATTTTCCCCATCGGGGACAGGAGGAAGCATTTGTGCCCTCACCCCAGCACTAAAGAAAGAGCAAAACTAGCTAAACATTCAGCCATGCTTTCCCAAACAATGCAAATGTTACTCCACTTGTCCTCCTCCTATGCAAACAAGGAGAGGAAAAATGAAATTGAGACCCCAGCTGGAAAACAAAAAAGTGGAAAAGCTTGGTAGTTCTGGAATTTCTTATTTTTGCAGATCAAACTTGCAGAAGGCCAGAGCTAAGCATGCACAATTAGCATGAATTAAGACGTCATTCACATATAGGGAGTTCTATTGTACTGTTACCTATTGTGTAGAGTTCAGTGCACTTTCGACCGAGCTCATTAGCTGCACAGCACCACACATGTGCATCAAATAGCAGTTCGTCTTCTCTTAGGTTAACTTGTTCCTTCTCTATTTCACGACCTTTATTTGGGGAGAAACTGGATGTTCCACAGCTGTAAAACAGAATTGCAAACTGGATCTAAAAAAATTACGTTACAAAGTGGAAAACATCTAATTGTTTCCATCATGATTTTTGGAGCAAAGAAGACAACATTTTCTAAAATATCAATGGATTTGTAATCAGTCTGTTGGTCAGCCAATATGGACATGTAGGCTAGGCAATATTCCCTGAGAACTTGCTATCAGCTTATAGCTCCCTGGCACATGTCTATCATGTGATTAAAAGAAAGTATAACATTACTGGTACATACATAGGAAGCATGTGTGCTATTTAAAGTGTGGATTAGCCTCTGCCCAATGAATTTTACTTCCTGCAGTTCACCTACCAAGTATCTTGTAACACAGAAGAGCAGTGACAACAGATGTGGCACAGCAAATTTCATCCAGATTTTGGATTGCTTTGAAGAAGCTAGCCAATGTGCTGGACATATTTGAGGAACGGGGCTCAGAACTCAGGATAGCTCCTTTAAAGTTCAGATTAAAGCCTGGAGCTCATTCACTGCTCCATGAACATAGGGCCACTAGACACAACTGCAGAAAGGCATTCACAGATAATAATAATAATAATAATAATAATAATAATAATAATAATAATGGCCCAAGAACAAGCCATTAGAACCAATGCCATCAAAGCCAGAATTGAAAAGCCAACAACATCCCAAATGTAGACTCTGCAAGTAAGCAAATGAAACAATAGATCACATCCTCAGCCGCTGCAAGAAGATCGCGCAGACAGACTACAAGCGGAACTCAGCTTATACTCAAGTATATATGGTATTTCTAGATTAGATTTCATCATCTATGAAAAAAATATATGTGAATGGTTATTCAACCAGTAACAAGAAACCTCAACAGTCTACTACTTTAAAGCAATTCTGTTTGGATGTAATCTTGATTACATCAGCTATCTGTGGGGTTCAATCTGTTCCGTGGGACCCAGTATGGGAAGGGGTCAATTTCTAAGAAGAGCAAACTCCATTGTCACAGCTATCATATAGTGAAGGTTGATGTAATATAAAGGGTTTTTGCTCCACTTACTTCATTTTGTGAGAAAGAGGGTCACATTTGCTTCCTTGATCATGCCTTACTCATTTCCCACATTGGTGGATTCTTGCTGGCTAGTGGCTAGGGATGGATAAATGAGTTTCTTTCTGGTCTGTACCAGTTTCAAAACCTTGGAAAAATTATCACTTGGACTACCATTGGAATGAGAACTGGGTTGTCTGGGAGCTCCCCCCCCCCGCCCCCCACTTCAAAAAGTAATCAGTTTCACAAATTAAGTAATAACTCTTCTGCCCCATTTCCACATCAGTCCACAATTCTCACCCACCATCAATCAATGTGCATTTGTGTTAGTTTTCATACATAATTTCCCCTTATAAGCACATTATATAATCATTATATTTGATGGGCAACTTCTACAGCTGTATGCTTTTCTGCAAATAACATTTTAAATAATATACACATTTTGCATGCATTTTTGAATCAAGAAATGCATTTTGAAAAGTTAGGGAGTGCGCAGTTTGAAGGGTAACTGTGCTGAATTGGTTTTATGAAGTGTGAACTGGTTTTATTCATTTCAAAAATTAGTTTCATGTCTTTTGAACTTGTACAAGATCACATTTGGGATGCACTACAGTATTTGCTAAGAGCCAAAGTGAAACAAGATACTGAGTTCGTAATTAAAAAGTGAAAAACACATTTCCCTTTCCAGAAATGTGATTCCTTCAGAGTTTCCTGCCTGAGTGATCTGAGTAACAAAGCCGCCTTGTGTTCTCCTTTTGATGAACAACTCCAAACAAAGGGAGCTAATTGCAAAATGCAAAGGTGAGAAAATCTCATGCTAGAATAATCTTATCACTTCAGGGAACACAAACTTCTAAAGTAAGAGCTGATTATTTTATCTAATTTCACCCTCAGTTATAGATTCTCCTCACTATGCTGATATGTTCTTGTGATTTTAGAAGTTTTGAGAAGACATGTAATAATACTGAAACATTCTCCTTCTATATAGCACACGGGTCCTCAAACTAAGGCCCGGGAGCTAGATACGACCCTCCAAAGTCATTTACCCGGCCCTCGCTCAAGATCAACCTAAATCTGAAACGACTTGAAAGCATACAACAACAATCCCATCTCACCAGCCATAAGCTGGCCCACACTTCCCATTGAAATACTAATAAGTTTATATTTGTTAAAATTGTTCTTTATTTTAATTATTGTATTGTTTTAAAGTGGGTTTTTTGCACTACAAATAAGATATGTGCAATGTGCATAGGATTTCATTCATGATTTTTTTCAAATTATAATCCAGCCCTCCAACAGTTTGAGGGACTGTGACTTGGCCCTCTGTTTAAAAAGCTTGAGGACCCCTGATATAGCATGTCACTTATTTTTGTTTAAGGTTCAAATGTGCTAATTTTTCTCATAAGAAAGAGATGCCTCAATGTACTTATAAAATGCAAAAGAGATGGACAAACTGGCAGCAGAACTGAAACACAGACAACTTACCTTTCATCAGGGCCATTACAAGAAAGCCATTTTACAAATGGTTTGGGGTATCCTTCTGATGCGCAACCAATAGTGAAGGTATTTTCATTTTTTATGAAATAGGGTTTCCTTGGGTTTCCTTTCGAAAATAATACATGTAATGCTTATTAATGTATTCCTCCATCTCTTCACACTAACATGCATGAATTTTGCTTGGTACTATTTATCTGATAAAAATACTTGATACCAGACAATTCTCTGCAGAACATTGTCTTAACACCAAAATCCAACATCTATAATAATAATACATTTATTACCCACCTCAAAGCGGGATACGACATCATTTTCATTGGCCACCCCATAACTGTGGAATGACCTGCCAGGAGAGCTCTGACAGCTAGATTAGCTGTCGAAATTTAAGACACAAATAAAGACCCATCACTTTTGGCAGGCCTACCAAGGCAGTCTTAATGATGAATTTTAAATTTCCACTCTATATCTAACCTTTGTTTTGCACATTTTAACAGGTATTTTATGGAAATATGTTTTAATATGAGTGTATTCTACAGAGTGTTTTTAGGTGATTATGTGTTTTGCTTATGTGTTTTAGCATTGTTGTAATCTGCCTCAAGCTGTGAGAAGAGGAGGGTAAGAAAAAAACCCCCTATTATTATTATTATTATTATTATTATTATTATTATTATTAAAACAAGAGATAAATCAAAGACATACAACAAGATACACAGAGTTAAAATACAAGTTGAAACCCACTGACAAAATGCAGGTTAAAATTCACAACTTAAAATTGGCCAGGTAGGCCTGCTGGAAGAGATGGGTCTTCAATGGTGTCTTAAATTTCGACAGCTAATCTAGCTGTCAAAGCTTTTCCTCTAGAAAAAAGTAGCAGTTCCATACATTTTAGATTCACAACAAGTTCTCTGCTTCTATTTTTTATTATTTTTAAATTTTATTTCAAAGATAATACATTGACCATATACATTGCAGACATATACACATACACAGACATAGACAACCCGCCACCCACAGTACAGTTACCCCTCAACACACCCCCAGTGCTACCCACCACCTTGGCTTCCATCACTGATCCCCGCAGGATTTATGCACATTTTGTTTAACCCTCTATACTTCAAGTAGAATAGATTCCTTTTGTTTTTATTTCTTTACCTTTCCCGTCAAGAAAGCTAAGGCCAGCTTCCAGTTTCTTTCAAATATTTCATGATTTTCATATTTCAAATTGCTAGAAATATTAGCCATCTGTGCATAATCCCACAGTTATCTTTCCAATTTTTGATGCTTAATTTTTTTCTCCCCTTTCCAATCTTTGCCAATTGTAATGTGTGCAGCCATGTTCTAATCTATCTCTGAATATCCCTAATAGGCACATCGCTGGATTTTTTAAAAACTTTGTTGTGGATCATTTCATTTGTTTCCTTTATTATTCTTTTCCAATAGACCTGCACCAGTTCACAAGACCACCATACATGAAAAAAAAATCCCTTTCTTTGTTTTGCATCTCCAACAGGAACCTGATTGTGAGTTGTCCATTTTGGCTAAGAGGGTTGGGTTTATGTAGTATCTGTAGAACATTTTATATACATTGTCTCTAATTGAAGCTGCCACTGTAAACTTAAAGCCATTGTTCCACAGGTTTTCCCAGACCTCGGGAAGTCTGACTTGGCCACGGTAGTCCACGCTCTGGTTACATCCCGCATAGATTACTGCAACGCGCTCTACGTGGGGTTGCCCTTGAAGACTGCCCGGAAGCTTCAGATGGTCCAGCGTTCGGCAGCCAGGTTGCTAACAGGAGCGGCACTCAGGGAGCATACCACTCCTCTGTTGAGCCAGCTCCACTGGCTGCCAATCTGCTACCGGGCACAATTCAAGGTGCTGGCGTTAGCCTACAAAGCCCTAAATGGTTCCGGCCCCACTTACCTCTCCGAACGCATCTCCACCTATGAACCGACGCGGACACTAAGATCTTCCGGGGAGGCCCTGCTCTCGGTCCCGCCTGCGTCACAGGCACGGTTGGCGGGGACGAGAGACAGGGCCTTCTCGGTGGTGGCCCCTCGGCTATGGAATGCCCTACCTATTGACATCAGACAGGCCCCTTCGCTACTGGCATTTCGGAAGAAGGTTAAGACCTGGCTCTTTGAGCAAGCGTTTGGCTAATCAGTGCAAGTGAACATAGGAAGACGGTAAAATTGAACATAGGAATGGCACAAGGATTACGAGAATGGATTTTGCTTTGTTATCGAGGCATCATGTATTGATAATAATTGTGTATTTTGTGTATGACGTGTTTTAACTGTTATTGTTGTGATAATTTACATTGTGTAAACCGCATTGAGTCGCCTAATTAGGCTGAGAAACGCGGTATAGAAATAAAGCAAATAAATAAATAAATAAATGTCAAAATCTATTCTTCTCCTGAAATCTTTTGCCCATGAGATCATGGAGGTTTTAACACGATTATCTTCCAAATTGTAGTGTAGGATATATTTGTATAGTCTGGCTTTTCCCCCTTTGTTTAATATAGTTTTCAGATCTCATTTTTTTGAAGCAAATCCCCTCTTCTCTGCTTCTACAAGGCCATATCCATGGGGTACTGTTGCCACTCACTAGTCCTCTCCCATTCAAGTAAATGGAGCATGGAGCTACTCCCTTCATGTGGAGAACAAAAATGTTTCTCTACCACTTCCTGGCCATTGACAAGTGGTGGTGGGTTAATAATAATAATAATAATAATAATAATAATAATAATAATAATAGACTCTTTTTTGGTAGGTTAGCTGAAAAATAAACTGAGTGTTTCCTCCCACTTATTATGGCAATTACACAGGAAGAAAACAACCCAATACCATGTTATTTAAGAGGAGTATCCCTCTTCCAGGATCTTCCAAATATTTGCACATAAGCAGATCTTCATTGCCCATGATTTTGAATAGAGAATTTGCATACAGTAAAAAAAAATCTCTGTGTGTTTCATTTTCAAATAGTTCTGATTCTGGCTCTCTTAATTCTCTTTCCATTTTTTCTCCTTTCCTTCATCTCTCTCTCTCTGCCTCTCCAATACATACAAAGTGTATCTGTCTTGCATAAGTTAATATCCCTCTCCGAAAGAGTGCCTGAGGATTTGTTTCTTGGCTCTTGGCCAACCTATTGTTTACTTACTTGAAAATATGAGAAATTCTTGGGAACATTCATTGACTCCAGAGTCCTTTCCTGGGAAGGACCATATGTCCAAGTTTGAAAATGAAATGAGTGATGTGGGAAAACAGGACACAATACCACCACAGAAACAGGGGGAGGATATTTACATAGAGGAAAAAGGAAATCTCCAAGGGGGCAGAAGATGTGATGTTTTGCACTTTTTAACATTAGGCATAGGCTGCGTCGATAATTCCTTCTAATACTACAGTCTGGGCTTCTGCTAGGCAGACTACTTCTTTTTGTAGCACCCAAAATGAGGAGATATATTTTCATGATATTTGCATATGGCAGAAGAAAAAGAAAATAGAAATCATTACTCTCATTTGAATAAAAATGAGAGTAAAAATGGAATAATGATTTGACATGGAGATGCTCACGATAATGTTTTAAGGCTTTGTATGGTTTTTATATTTTTTTATCACATGCTATTGTTTTTAACAGAATTTCTTGATTGTTTTTACTTGTTATAATTGTTGAGGCATTGAATTGTCAATTTGTGAACTGCTCTGAGTTGCCTCTGGGCTGAGAGGGGTGGTATATAAATATAGTCAATAAATAAATAAATTTACAACATATGTATATGATGACAAAGTATACTGCAACCAGGTGACCTATGTATCTAACTACCAGGTGTGGCTGGAGGGCTTCATATCAGGCTTGTAGAGACTTCACAATGAGTTTTATTCTACAGTCTACCCTCCACATCTACAGCTTTTGCAGATTTGACAATTCAAGGATTTGGTGAATACAATCTCTCTAGCAATCTGTATGACTGTCCTCCAGTACAGAATATTCTTCTGGTAGAAGTTGACTATAGAGTCACACTGGATAACATAGAGATTCCTAGAGAGATGTTCTCTCAGGTTAAAAAAAAGTATTTTTTACTGGGTTGCTGTATGTTTTTCGGGTTTATGGCCTTGTCCCAGAAGCATTATCTCCCGACGTTTCACCTGCACCTATGGCAGGCATCCACAGAGGTTGTGAAGTCTCACAACCCCTGAGGATGCCTGCCATAGATGCAGGTGAAACGTCAGGAGAAAATGCTTCTGAAACACGGCCATACAACCTGGAAAACTTACAGCAACCCAGTGATTCCAACCATGAAAGCATTCGACAATACAGTATTTTTTTAATTTGTGACTTTCCATTTTTGTTGGGGTTTTGCATTCTTGATGCTTATAAATGTGGAGGACCTACTATAGACTTTAAAAGAGATAGCCAAGGCGCCAAACATTTTTGGTAGATCAGATTCAAAACTGGATAGTTTCTTTAACATCTGGGATAAAAAATACCCAGGGTGAATTTAAAGCACCGCTTACACAAAATCCACTAAACATCCTTGCTGCCAACTCAGTCCACTGCCTGGTTCTTAACTCCAATTTGGCTGCTTCTTCATAAAGATTCTTTTGTTTCCAAACTGGATTTAGACTGGACACAGGCCATACAGGATTTCCAAACACAAGGCTACTCTCCAGCACTCCTTAAAACAAAGTATTGCCTTTGGTAAAGCAGGATACCTGGCCATTACATTGCCTGACTCCATGCCATACTTACGTCTCACAAGAAATGTAAATATGACTGTGTAGTTATTGGTTTCAGTTTGTATTGACAGTAAATGATTTCCAGCTTGTGTCTCTCTGATCTTTGGAAACACAATAGAAAGAACATGCCTGTAAGAAAAATAACAAAGTTTCATTTTTTTTCTTTAATTAAAAAAACCCTTCATTAAAAGGAAGCAGGCCAAAAAGGGAAGTAAAAGGAAGCAGGTAAAGATGTCAACAAACAAAAAGAAGCTAACTTTGTGGTCAGAACCAAACTAACCCTCTTTTTGCTTTTTGCTACTGACAAAGCCTTAGCTCTGTCAGTAGCAAAAAAAGTGTTTATAGTAGTGTTTATGGGCATCTTCCATAACATAGTGTTTATGAAAACACTATATAGCGTTTATGGACATCTCCCAAATGGCACATTTTATTCCAACAATAATCCTGTGAAGAGTTGATTAGGTCATGAGTGAATTTCATGGCCAAATGTGTCAATCCAGCACTCAGTACTGCCATTTATTCAGAAACTTATCTCTGACTCTACAAGAGAAGTAAGGGCCTTTCAAGAGTCATGAAAACATATTTTTGTATATAGGCAGTCTCCAACTTACAAGCATCTCACTTACAAACAGCTCATAGTTAAGAATGGGGATGAGACAACAGGAAGTGAGAGAACTCTACCCCTCGGAAGGGAAATTCACTCCTGAAAGAGCTATCATGGGAAAAGGTGTCTCCACTGAATATTTATTACCAATCCTTATTTCTACAAGTCATTTTTTTTCAAAATCCAACTATTATATGGACAGAAAGTGAGATGAAATCTTTTGAACTGGGGCACAGACAGCAAAGCAAACACCACGGGGGTGTTAGCCCTTCCCTATGATATCCAAAGCATGTGTGTGTGCTACACTTAAAAATGTATCTGTTGGGGGACGCCTGGTTTGACAGCAGTACGTGTGAAAAAGATCTTGAAGTCCTCGTAGATAACAAGTTAAACATGAGCCAACAATGCGATGCAGTGGCAAAAAAGCCAATGGGATTTTGGCTTGCATAAATAGGAGTCTAGTGTCTAGATCGAATTAAGTCATGCTACCCCTTTATTCTGCCTTGGTCAGACCACACCTGGAATATTCTGTCCAATTCTGGGCACCACAATTGAAGGGAGATGTTGACTGGAATGGGTCCAGAGGAGGTGACTAAAATGATCAAAGGTCTGGAGTACAAGCCCTATGAGGAGCGGCTTAAAGAGCCAGGCATGTTTATCCTGCAGAAGAGAAGGCTGAAAGGAGACATGATGAGGGCCATGTATAAATTTATTTTATTTATTTATTTCATTTATATACCACTTTTCTCAGCCCTCAGGCGACTCAATAAATAGGTGAGGGGAAGTCATAGGGAGGAGGGAGCAAGCTTGTTTACTGCTGCTCTGGAGACTAGAATGCGGAACAATGGTTTCAAACTACAGGAAATGAGATTCCACCTGAACATTAGGAAGAACTTCCTAACTGTGAGAGTTGTTCCCCAATGGAACTCTCTGTCCCAGAGTGTGGTGGAGGCTCCTGCTTTGGAGGCTTTTAAACAGAGGCTGGATGGCCATCTGTTGGGGGTGTTTTGAATGTGATTTTCCTGCTTCTTGGCAGGTAGTTGGACTGGTTGGCCCATGAGGTCTCTTCCAACTCAATGATTCTATGATTTCATTACTCTATGACTTACATTCAAATTAAACTTAAGCACAAACCTACAGAACCTATCTTGTTTGTAATTTGGGAACTGCCTATATAATTGATATTGTTTTAGTTGGCTTTTTAAAGATTAAGGCTGTCCTCCAGAGAAGGCTTGTGTAAAGATTCCAAAACACTTTATCATTAGCAGAGACATGAAGAGGCAATCTACTACTGCAGTGAGAAATTGCCAAGTTAAAAATTACAACTCTGGCCTTCTCCCAGTTGTTCATGTTTTCAGCATTTCTTAGGTAAGAATTAGTATGATGATTTATAAAACATTCCTTCAATCCATCCCTTGGCTTACCGATTGTCTGAATTCAGAGAGACATTACAGCCAATCTGGGTCTCTCTGAAAATCCAAAGACAGGTGATGCTGCCTGTGATATTGATAACTGCTTTGATTTCAGTGCTTTCAAGCACATCAACTTCCACATTTTTTGCTGCTTCGTAGACATTCCCAATGCCTTGAGAATTCAGGGAACACTGGAAATAGTACATTTTTTTTGATATCTGTATTGCAGGGGAAAGGTTAAAAATTAATGTTTTACATTGTATTCTCTTCTTAGACCTGCACCAACACACAGATGTTAAAACCTCATTGCAGCTTTTAAAAATGCATTATGCTTAGCATGGGGCAGGTGGGATGGCCACACTGGCCAATGTGAATCACATCCCAACGTAAAGGGAAGCTCCAGAGCATTCCCCAGCTTTCCTTAATGTGGGGCACAACCACATTAAGCAAGTGTATCCTGTGTTGGAGATGAGATGACTTAGTATGTCATGCAGTTGCAATAGAGCCGACTCTTGCCTATTTTGGGTTAGAGTGCCTATGTACACATGCCCTAAGATTGTACCTTTCTCTGCTAGACCCTATGTGTGCATGTGTGTGTGCATGTGCCTGTCTGTCTGACTGTCTCTCTGTGTAGAAACATGAGACTGGTTGTTGACCAGCTTCTGTCTTGTTTATTTGAGTATTCTGTTTTAGTGCTTCAATACGATGCTGTTTTGCCTGGTCTTGTGATAGGTGTGACAGGCAAGATCTCTTTTCTCATTTCTGTGCAACAGAGCAGGCAAAAGGAACAGAAAAAAGAAAAGTATATTTCCAAAAAGGTTACTGGATAAGTGAACCAGAGATTACAGAGAAACAGGAGGCGGCACGTGAGAAGTGTGGACTGTGTATATTGTTAAAAGAGTTGTAGTTTAGTGAGGCACCAGGATGATTTGGCAGGGAAAGCTAAAGATGTGTTGTGGAAGGAATGTGTCCAGAGGAGAGCGACTAAATGATAAAAGGTCTGGAGAACAAGCCCTATGAGGAGCGGCTTAAGGAGCTGGGCATGTTTAGCCTGAAGAAGAGAAGGCTGAGAGGGGATATGATAGCCATGTATAAATATGTGAGAGGAAGCCACAGGGAGGAGGGAGCAAGCTTGTTTTCTGCTTCCCTGGAGACTAGGACGCGGAACAATGGCTTCAAACTACAAGAGAGGAGATTCCATCTGAACATGAGGAAGAACTTCTTGACTGTGAGAGCCGTTCAGCAGTGGAACTCTCTGCCCCGGAGTGTGGTGGTGGCTCCTTCTTTGGAAGCTTTTAAACAGAGGCTGGATGGCCATCTGTCAGGGGTGATTTGAATGCAATATTCCTGCTTCTTGGCAGGGGGTTGGACTGGATGGCCCATGAGGTCTCTTCCAACTCTAGGATTCTATGATTCTAAGGCTTTCATGGCCGGAATCACTGGGTTGCTGTAAGTTTTTCGGGCTTTATGGCCATGTTCCAGAAGCATTCTCTCTTGACATTTCGCCTGCATCTATGGCAGGCATCCTCAGAGGTTGTGAGGTCTGTTGGAAACTAGGAAAATGGGGTTTATATATCTGTGGAATGTCCAGGGTGGGAGAAAGAACTCCTGTCTGTTTGAGGTAGGTGTGAATGTTTCAATTGGTCACCTTGATTAGCATTTAATGGCCTAGCAGTTTTCAATGTCTGGCTTCTTACTGCCTGAGGGAATCCTTTGTTGAGAGGTTATTAGCTGTCCCTATTGCTCCAGACAAGAACAAATCAGGGATAGCTAGTCACCTCTCAACAAAGGATGCCCCCAGGCAGTAAGAAGTCACACCTTGAAAACTGCTAGACCTCACAACCTCTAAGGATGCCAGCCATAGATGCAGCTGAAACGTTAGGAGAGAATGCTTCTGGAACATGGCCATACAGCCCAAAAAACTTACAGCAAGCCAAATCTGAAAACCTTGCAAAACTACAACTCCCATGATTCCATAACAATGAGCCATGGCAGTCAAACTGTATTAATTCTCCAGACAAAATGTAGGTCTGTGACTCTAACATTATGACTTTCTTTCTGCTGTATAATTTTAACATCTTTGCCTGATGAAGAAGCTAGCAAAGCTTTGGCAGAGGGTTGGTCTGGATGGTCCTTGAGGTCACTTCCAACTCTATGATTCTATGATTTATGCAATCTATTTTTAGTTGGCTCCATAAAAGTATCACTGTTTTGAGGCACAAAGATTTCACAAGAAGACCTTTAAAAAACAGTTTTTCTTCACAGCTGTAAAATCCTTTTTCTTGAGGTCCGCTCTCACTCAGTCCAGTGAAGCCCTTCCAGAAAGATGCTGTTTTGCCTGGTCTTGTGATAGGTGTGACAGGCAAGAAGGCCAATAAAAGCCAATTTATATCTCCCTACCTTGTTCTTAAAAACCAGTGTTCATGAGGAATGACAGTCTATTAACTTGCAGTTAGTCATTTTCTGCTTCTAATTGTATCACTTTTCTTTCGCTTCAATGACGACTTTTTGAAAACTAATGCATCTTTGCCTGATGAAGAATACAGTGAACTTTAAGAACTGTCTTAATGCTTTTTGTGTCTTCTAGATGACATAAAAAGGTAACATCAATGTGTATTTGGGAATTTGCATTTTGTTTACTGGTCAACACAGCTCTTCCACAACATATTAAGTGTGGAAATAATAATAATAATAATAATAATAATAATAATAATAATAATAATTTTATAGGCCGCCCTGTCTCCCTAGGGGGATTCAGGGTGGATTCCAGGCAAAAAGGCAAACATTCAGTGCTGGCTGATAAACAAACACATAAGTCAAATCAGTGCAAAAACTGATAAATTACTAAACAAACACAAAGCTCATAAAGACCAACAATACCACAATGCATAATATGAGTAAAATTATTTAACATGATTTATAGCAGCTTGCAGAGTCAAGATAAATGCAATGCATGTACTGCACAAGAAATGCAAGTACTGCACAAGTGAATTGTGATAGTGCAGGTCTCTCCCCAATACCACAATTTAGATACTGTGGTTTGTTTTTTCTTAATTGAAAAGTTTCCTTTCAACAAGAAACCCTGTAGTGGCTAACAATCAAAATATTACTTTCAGTAAATGACATGTTAAAACTTTATTTTAAAAATCATTTAAAAAACCAACTACAAATGGCATAAAAATATCAATAATACATTTTTGGAGGATTACCATGTAAAGTCAGTTGCTGCAAAAATAACAAAAGTGGTATTTTGGCATACTAAAAAAGCAACAATGTTATGTCAAAAATGGTGTATATCTAAACCAAATGAGTTATTGTGAACTAATATATACAGAGTACCCCAAAAATCTTCATACATCGGAAAAATTAACAAACCCATATATTATATTAATTATTATATTATATTATATTATATTATATTATATTATTATATTATATTATATTATATCATATTATATGCCGTACAAAGAAAACATTAGAAACATGGATCATTTAAAGAAATACATACAAAATGCTATTACGTGCATAATAACTGATATCTTGGAATGTGCTTGCCATGAATGAGGGAGAAGATACAGGATGCATGTAGAAAGAGGTGGCCAACATGAAAATAATACTTTGTAAAATTCTGTATTGAATATTTTGCAAAGAAAGATAGTGTAGAGGTCTATGAAGCCTCTGAGGATGAGGACGGGGATTTTGTGTTTGAGCCTGGTATTTCTGTGGGGGAAAGCAAAAGTGTTTTTCAAGATGATGGGAATGTTTTGAGTAGATCTGTTGTCAGAAAATAAGCAGTGATTCTCATGCGAATCGGCCAGGGATTGACTCCGAAAGGAATGTGAAGGAGACAGGAGAGTTATAGATAACCCAGCATTTACAGCTCAGAAGGGATAGTGCGAAACAGAGACAAATAAGTTGTTCCCAGAGGCTGAAAGATAAGCAAAAGGAACCCAGGTGTGAGAAAGAGTGATGTCATGGGCAAAAAGGGAGTCAATATTTGGTGGGGAAATCGGCACTGGATTTTCATGTGCCAAGTTGCCTGTCTTGGGAGCCCCGAGTTAGGAGTTCTGTTCTTGGGTCTGTATCTTGTTTAAGTTCCATGCCTTCTGTTTGGATTACAAATCTTGGTTCAAGTTTCAAGCTTTTGGGATTATAGTGAAGTTCAAGTATCAAGCCTTTGGATTATGGCCATGTTCATGTTTTCAAGCTTTTGGATATAATACTAGTTTAAGTGCAACAACTCTTGGATTACAGTTTCTTGCTTTTGTCTTCGGTGATCTTTGGAATTCACAAAGTTGGTAATTTTTAGGCTCCTGGAAATCTAGCTCATGGATGGAACTTTGAAACTGCTTTTGCATACTGGGTTTTGCTGGTACTTTTGTGAATGCTTAGCCTGCTTATTTTGAATACTATTTTGGAACTCTTTTATGTTTGATACTCTTTTTTAATAAACTTATTGTTGTTGATCTGTGTGGTGTTTGGGTGAAAAAGGGATCAAGCAGGCAGCTAGGTTACAAAAGGTACATTTGCTACATTTTCCCATTTTTCCTATGTATGGTGACTTTTGGAACATCCTGCATATGTGTGTAGAGACAGAGAGAGACTGTATGGTTACCTTATACTGAATGTTGATCATAAAATCACATTGGAAGACTTATAGATTGCTAAAGAAACCACATGAAATCTGCAATCTGGAGGGCTGACTGTACATCCTTCCTCCCAAAGATATCATTTGCCTTACGTCCGGAGAAGGCAATACTCGAAAAATAAGATCTCTGACACTGCTCTTAAGCATGTATCTATACTATGTGCACAGTAATCTGATACTAAAGCTGCCTTGAGTCTCCTTTTGGAGGTATAAATAAACATCCTAATAATACTTTCGATGTCATGGTTGCATATTTAGAATTGTCTGCTAGGAACCTCTGTTGGTGTGAAGTGTGCTAAAATTCTCCTTCCGAGAATTCTCAGCACTTCTCCAAACTAGGAATCCCAGGATCCTCTTGATGGAGATATGACCAATGAATGACAACTGGAGGGATATCAAACATGGTAGTTTACATATTTCCTCAGACACCAGGCAGTTCAGTATGGGAGTATACATATCTATTTACCTTTTGGAAAGATGATACATCTGATTCTCTTGCAGCTTTACTGTTTTGCGTGATTAAATGGCAGGTTATCTCTGATGTATTCCTGCTTATCACAGCAGTTGATGCCACCGTAAGAACCAGAGCTACGAAAAAACCACACACACAAATCACCAGAATGCAATGTAAAGACTATAGTGTTATCGTGAAATTGAGGAACTTGCTGATAAAGGCAACCCAAATTATTAGCAAGCTCAAGAAATTCCTCTACATGAGTAAAAGCTTTTGGTGTCTTTCTTAGCTCAGGGCTAAAGCCATTCAGGGCGTGCATTGACATAACTTTATCTGCAATGGCTCAATGCTAAGGAATAATAGGAGTTGTATTGTCGAAGGCTTTCATGGCTGGAATCACTGGGTTGTTGTAGGTTTTTTGGGCTTTATGGCTATGTTCTAGAAGTGCTCTCTCCTGCCATAGATGCAGGCAAATGTCAGGAGAGGTAAGGGGGGGAAGATGGGCAGTGCGGGACGTGGGGTAACAGGTTCCCCATGCCCCCTGCCAAGCCCTGACAGATTGGCCATGATGTGAGGTGAACTGCATAGGTGATGTGATTTTTTTTAATCGTATCGGAAGCAAACCAAGGATACAGTTGTAATCATTTCTTTAAAAAAATGCAAAGTTAAACAACTTGGCATTATATTAAATGTCCTTTGGCCAGTAGCTGGCCATTTGGAGTGGCTCTGGTGTTGCTATAAGAAGGTCCTCCACTGTGCGTGTGGCAGGGTTCCGAGTGCATTGTAATAGGTGGTCTGTGATTTCTCTTCTCCACATTCGCATGTCGTGGACTCCACTTTGTGACCCCTTTGTGGCGCTGTGTTCTTAAGGTGATGTGATAAGGTTGTAAGACATTCATGAGATCTCTTGGAGATGTCGCCTATGTCTAAACTTCATATTCATTATCTTTCATATAAACCTTAAAATATAACCTGGGGGTCATTTTATACATAATATCTTAAACAAATTTGTCCATGAAAGAGGGTTTGTGTACATTGAACCATCAGAAAGCAAAGGGGTCACTATCTCAGCTGATCTGCAAAAGAATTTTGGAGGATTTTGGAATACCCCGTTATGGAATCCTCAATGTATGCTTACAATTTCTTATTTTCCTATCCAATGCCTATTGTATAGTTAGTATAGTTTCTTTGAACCATAACAATTTTCATCATTGAAGGCTTTCACAACTGCAATCACCGGAGTGTTGTGTGGTTTCCGGGCTGTATGGCCATGTTCTAGCAGCATTTTCTCCTGACATTTCACCTGCATCTATGGCTGGCATCTTCAGAGGATTCTTCAGACATGCGAGCCACAGATATGGGTGAAACATCAGGAGAAGATGCTGCTAGAACACAGCCATGCAGCCCAGAAACCACACAACACCCCATAGCAATTAGATTTCTTTCAAAATGTGATTTATTAAAAGTAGTGCATGTTGGACTTTTCAGTGGCCCCTCTGTTTGTAGTTGGATTGTTTTATTTGCATTTATAAAAGTGTTTATAGTTTTATCATTTGTGAGTGGTCTTGAGAGGGATTTGATCGAAATGTCAGCATGTGCAAGTCACACACTCCCAGCTCCAGAAAACCCTGTAATAGATTCAATTGAGGGTTATTATAAGTCTGAAAAAACTTGAAGGTAAACAACAACACACCTCTGAGGTGAGAAAGGCAGTATATAAATATGATAAATAAACAACATTTCTGAGAACAGTTGTTGCAGATGGAGATAGAAAGCAGCCAACCCTTGTTGAAAGACCACTTCCCTAGAATTCTTCATTCAGATGCCATCAGTGACAGTTGACAGCCTTGGCGTGGCAAATGAATGGTGGCCTTGTTGCTGCAGTTTACCTTTTCCAGCAAAAAATGACATGGAAAGGCAGCTACAAAATGACTGACTGCAATTGGCTTTACCTGTGGTTAGTTCCTTCTTCTTACTTCACTTTTTCTGGTTCCCTATGTTTTGTTTCTACCACCAGGACTAGGAAGTGGTTTTTCACCCTCAAACACGTATATTCTAAAACAAACCTCAAACAGAGAACATGATGCTATTCTCATTTTTCAGGAAATGTGAACTATGTGCTGTGATGGACAGAAGGAAACCCAAACTGCAGAGAAGATGGAAGAAATGGCATCTGATGCCATCAACTGTTAACAACTTTCTTCTGCAGCTGGGAGAAGTATGGTGTTTTTTAGTTGGAGAAGCAACAATGCTAAGAACTGATGTGTGAAGCATGCCTTAGATTGGGCAGTATTTTGTCCACCTACACTGACCACTCTGTGATGTATCTGATGCTCTGAGGGACGTTTCTCTACCTCTTCTTCTTGCCATAAGTCCTCTCTTGGTCTTCCAAGATATAGCTAGGTTAGATGAGAACCCTGAGTTACTCTTCAATCCTAGAATAGAGTCCCTACAATAAAGCTTAATTTAATTTCTTTCTCAAGTCATAGGCGTACTTGCTCCTTAAGTCAAGCTCTGTAGCCATTTTTGGAAAATGGCATTCACCCTCATTTGGGAAAATCAGGAATCTCCCCAAGAAGAGCTAAATGATGTAAAAAAATAAAAAAATAAAAATGTGCTTGAGTCAACCTTCTACTTAGTTGAAAATATCCGCTAGTATTCATGTAAAGCAATTAGATTTCTCAGCTGTTAAACTGATACACCGAGATAGATATCTCTTTGAACTGTTGGGGACAAATATATGCCAATACACAAAAAACAGATAGACAGATAGATAGCAGAATTTCAGAAGTGTTTTTTCAGTTACCCAAAAAACATCTATTCACCCTTAAAACATCTTGGTTTAAACCATGCTACCAAGAGACCAAAAATAAGTAGATTTCTTTAAAAGTAACATAGTTGGTGTACTCACAAACTTCATGTATTCAGCATACAGGTACATTGCTTATCAGCCCAATACAGATAGGATTTGAAGCAGTTTCTCTGTGTGGGTAACATGGGGCATCTTTCTCAAAATCAACAGTCCATAATCTAAGCATCTCTCTGGTCTAAGTCTATCTGAGTCTCTGTTTCTAAATACTTCTAAACTGTACTGTTTCTACATTGAAAGTCTAATGGCTTCTGCTTCTACTGGCATCTGAAACAATATTATTTCTAAAATGGAGTCTGAGTCCTAAACAATCCCAGATCTGATCACATGGTCTGCAGCCCCTCCCACAACATAGGGTTCAGGAAAACTGCATACACACATATACAATACAGTAAATAATCTGAATTATATATATAACAAGTAACTAGTGGAGGCTTGAAGAAGGTTGTTATTTCCAACAGCCACTGCATGAAATCTAACAGCTTTTCTGATCGTACAAAGGATTGCTCTCATTTGGACCTCCAATGTGAACTTCGATCATTTATCTTTACCAACTTTCCACTACATAGCTTTTAAAAAGTAAGTCTTGTTCTCCTCTCCTATGTTAGATATAGAGTTGGCAAGTCAAAGTCATCTTAGGCTCTGAAACCGAGAAACAGCCACCACGGTGGTATACAGAGGCAAACAGAGACTGTCCTGATGCCATAGAGAGCAGATTTTCATGATGTTATTAAACATGATAGATCAAGTATTAGTCACAATTGCTGATAGCATATCATTAATCACACACATATATCAATGGCATCACTGGAAACCACACTGGGTGATATCATAGGAAGGAAATAACATCAAAATAATTGTCTCAAACATTTTTGTGGAGTATTTCAACAGAAATTTATCATTAAAACATGTTATGAGATATGATCACAAAAACATGTTTCTTAAGCCCAGCTGACATGTACCATAGCAACATACCTATAAGGCTAAACCTCTCTGGTGATTTATTTTTGTGCCTACTAATGTACATGCACTTTGGTCAGAGGTGTCATTAGTAGCCTTAAGTAATTTCCAGCATTCCTAAGCTTTGTTGTTGTTCATTCGTTCAGTCGTCTCCGACTCTTAGTGACCTCATGGACCAGCCCACGCCAGAGCTCCCTGTCGGCCGTTACCACCCCCAGCTCCCTCAAGGTCAGTCCAGTCACTTCAAGGATGCCATCCATCCATCTTGCCCTTGGTCGGCCCCTCTTCCTTTTTCCTTCCATTTCCCCAGCATCATTGTCTTCTCTAGGTTTTCTTTTCTCCTCATGATGTGGCCAAAGTACTTCAACTTTGTCTCTAGTATCTTTCCCTCCAATGAGCAGTCGGGCTTTATTTCCTGGAGGATGGACTGGTTGGATCTTCTCGCAGTCCAAGGCACTCTCAGAACTTTCCTCCAACACCACAGCTCAAAAGCATCGATCTTCCTTCGCTCAGCCTTCCCTACGGTCCAGCTCTCACATCCGTAGGTGACTACAGGGAATACCATGGCTTTGACTAGGCGGATCTTTGTTGCCAGTCTGATGTCTCTACTCTTCACTATTTTATCGAGACTGGACATTGCTCTCCTCCCAAGAAGTAAGCGTCTTCTGATTTCCTGGCTACAGTCTGCATCTGCAGTAATCTTTGCCCCTAGAAATACAAAGTCTGTCACAGCCTCCACGGTTTCTCCTTCTATTTTCCAGTTGTCAATCATTCTTGTTGCCATAATCTTGGTTTTTTTGACGTTTAGCTGCAACCCGGCTTTTGCGCTTTCTTCTTTCACCTTGATTAGAAGGCTCCTCAGCTCCTCCTCGCTTTCGGCCATCAGAGTGGTGTCATCTGCATATCTGAGGTTGTTAATGTTTCTGCCAGCAATTTTCACCCCAGCCTTGCATTCATCAAGCCCCGCACATCGCATGATGTGTTCTGCATACAAGTTAAAAAGGTTGGGTGAGAGGATGCAGCCTTGCCGTACGCCTTTCCCAATCTTGAACCAGTCTGTTGTTCCGTGGTCAGTTCTTACTGTTGCCACTTGGTCCTTGTACAGATTCCTCAGGAGAGAGACAAGGTGGCTTGGGATGCCCATCCCACTAAGAACTTGCCACAATTTATTATGATCCACACAGTCAAAGGCTTTAGAATAGTCAATGAAGCAGAAGTAGATGTTGTTCTGAAACTCCCTGCCTTTCTCCATTATCCAGCGGATATTGGCAATCTGGTCTCTCGTTCCTCTGCCTTTTCTAAACC